ACCGTAAAAACACCTCCAGAGATAGAATCAGTCGTCGCACAATATTCAAACCTTTTTGAGGAGCCCATAGGCGTGGTAGAAAGGGAGGTTGTCCATGCGATAGAGGTTGTCCCAGGTAGTAAGGTACCTAGAGGATGAATCTATAGGATGTCTCTTGCGGAGTTAGATGAGCTCCTCCGCCAGCTCAAGGAGCTCATAGAGAAGGGATGGATTCGGCCTAGTACCTCCTCTTACGGCGCTCCAGTCCTATTCGTACCAAAGAAGGGAGGTACCTTGAGGATGTGCATTGACAATAGGGGCCTCAATGCCATCACTATTAAGAACGCAGAGCCCCTACCCCGCATCGAGGACCTCTTGGATAGAGTCCAGAGATGCCGGTACTTCACCAAGATAGATCTGAAGTCCGGATACCATCAAATTGCCATTAGGCCTGAGGATCAGCACAAAACCGCATTTCAGACCAGGTACGGTCTGTACGAGTTTGTGGTGATGCCCTTTGGACTATGCAATGCACCTGATACGTTCCAGCACGCGATGAACAAAAATTTTCGTAACTACTTAGACAAGTTTATCGTCGTGTACCTCGACGATATTCTCATCTTTAGTAGGACAGTAGAGGAGCACGTTGAGCACTTGAAAACAGTGTTAGGTCTCCTAAGACAGCACTAGTACAAGGTTAACTTGGAGAAATGCGAGTTTGGTCGCACCAAGATCTTGTACGTGGGTCATAAAATCTCAGCAGATGGACTGAGGCCGGATGATGCCAAGGTGACCAGCATACGTGACTAGCCCAGACCTCAGACTTTTACTGAGGTCAGATCGTTTTTGGGGATGACGGGCTACGATCGTCCGTTTGTGAAGAACTATAGTACTATAGCTTCCCCATTGACGCATCTAACTTGACTGAACACCCCTTGGGAGTGGATGAAGAGTGTGAGGCGGCCTTCAGGAAACTGAAGTATGCTCTGACACACTATGAGGTTCTTAAACTTCCTGATCCTGATAAGCCATTTGTCGTGACTACAGATGCCAGCCAATATGGCATTGGCGCAGTCCTTGCGCAAAAGGACGGGCCCAAGTTGAGACCTATCGAATATATGAGCAAAAAGATGCCATCTCAAAAACTAGTTAAGTCCACTTATGAGCGTGAGCTCTATGCCCTGTATAGAGCGCTGGTTCATTGGAGACATTATCTCCTAGGCAGATTCTTCTATGTGAGATCTGACCATGAAACCTTGCGCTGGATCAAGACACAGCTCGTCCTCTCTGATGCACTCAAAGAGATGGATACAAGTGATAGACATATATGACTATCAACTTGATCCAATCAAGGGAGAGTACAACAAAGTGGCTGATGCGTTATCTCGTCGGGCAGATTATCTGGGCGCGTTAGTTACGGAATTTGGCATATCTAGAGATCTAACTCGATCACTGGTGGAAGCCTATCAGCAAGATCCAGTTATGTCTGAGATCATCCGTAGATTCCAAACAAAGGACCAAAAACTTTGGACGGATTTACGATGGTAGACGGCTTGCTGTTTCTTGAGAAGGCAGGGAATAAAAGGATGTGTGTTCCCAGTAGTGAGTCGTTGCGTAGTTTATTTTTAGGAGAATGCCATGATGCAACTGGTCATTTTGGATACAAGAAGACATCAGCGAACTTAGTACAAAGATTCTGGTGACCCTCTATGATGATAGATGCAAAACACTACGTTGAAACCTGTCAGGTTTGCCAAAGGGACAAACCTAGGACTCAGGCACCGCTTGGGCTCATCAAGCCCTTGCCGATTCCTGAATGACCGGGTTAGAGTGTGTCCATGGACTTCATGGATACTCTGGTGACCAGTAAGTCCGGCAAAAGGCACATCTTCGTAATAGTGGACCGCTTTACTAAGTATGCAAGACTGATCGCTATGCCAGAAACAGTTAAAACTGACAACGTCATCAAACTGTTTATGGATAATTGGATACGTGATTTCGGGTTGCCTACGTCTATCGTTAGTGATAAGGATGTGAGATTCACAAGTGAACTGTGTCAGTCAACCGCTGAACAGATGGGCACAAAACTCCAAATGACCTCAGGGAATCACCCTGATTCATATGGTCAGGCAGAACAAATGGAGCGGGTAGTACAACACCTGCTTCGGCATTATATTAAGCCAAGTCAGGATGACTGGGACGAGAAGTTACCTCTCATCACCAGCCTGTACAACAATGTTGTGCACAATACTACCGGTATGACTCCCAACCAGTTACATCTTGGTTGGAAGCCCAGAATTGCACTTGACTCTCTGCAACCAGAAAGACAACCCACTGCAGCACCTGGCAGCATACACTTTGCTGTCAAATATGAACAGATGCTGCAGCAGGCCGTTGAACATATTAGGAAGTCTCAGGATGCTATGATCGCATGTGAGAATAAACATAGACGGCCCTCTAACTTTCAGGTAGGAGATAGAGTCTGGGTAAAGTCATCTGAACTAGGTCAGGAGATGGGGATATCAAGAAAACTGATGCCACCGTATTTTGGGCCCTGGGAGGTCTTGGACATTGTAGGAGATCAACCGGATGGGCCTTCATACATGATTCGTATTCCTGCACACTTACGAACTTACCCTATGTTCCATGCCTCTAAGTTGGCACCTTTCGCTGCTACTGACCAGTTTCCCTGAAGGCGATCAATGCTGCCCCCAACCATGGATGGCGAGGTGGACATCGACCAGATCGTGGAGCATCGAGTAATGCCTGTTCCTTGACCATCAGGCAGAGGGCGCCCTCCTAAACCAAGAATGCAGTATCGTGTGAGCTTCAGACATCATCTCGATCCCAAGGAAGATCGCTGATTCACACGAGAAGAACTCCTGAGAACAGCACCTCAAGTGATTGCAGGTTATGAAAGAGAACTGAAAGGGAAGATGCCTACAGAATAAGAGACTTCTCAGAGGACTAACGAAGTAAAGGAGGAGGGAATAAGAGGATCTGCGTCCTCGGCAGGCCTAAGAGGCCCCGTTTACAGTGGTGCCCGCCCTAAGTGAAGGCGGGCCTAACATTTCACAAGAGGCCTTTGACTGTCAATTTCATATTTGGGGTAAAGGCAGTTGCGACGCGCCAGTTGGTTGAGAGAAACACAGGCCGAGCAACAAAGACATTTCCACGGCCTACCGGGCCTTTCCAAAGAATGCAGGCCCTGGGCGTGAATCGCAGCCTCATACACTGACAGTTGGGAGGCCCAACCGAACAAGGCCCAGTAGCTGCAGGGCAAAGGCAGCATCCTGGGGCCTTCCGGAAGCTTCTGGGCCCAGGCCAGTGCAGCCAGGCTGCGCGAGCAGGCCAGCTCTTTCCATAAAGGAAAGAGCTCTCGCGAGGCAGCCTCATTCGGTCACTTGCTGGCTGGCGGCAGCGCTGCTGGAGCGATAGCTCGTTGGCTGGCTGCTGGCACTGGGAGCAAGAGGCTGCGCATGTGCGGTCGTGTGGTGAAGCAGGGCGCTGCTGAGGGCAGCGCCATAGCCCAGCCACCATAGCTGGTGGGCTTGGACTACAGTGAGGCGCATGAGTGGTCTTCGGGTGTAAGAGAGGACATGCGTGGGTGTAAAGACAGGGAAGGGCGAAGGATGATGATGATCATGATGTGAGGGCACATACCTCGTATTGGCGATGGTCTGCATAAGGGAGACATCTTCAAGTACTTCGGGTTGCCGCTGATGTCAACAGTTGCATTGTCTACTAGTAGGCTGATCGTAGCTGTGTAGGAGTAGGCTGGGCGCTGAGCGCCAAGTAGGAGTGTGAAGGGACTGGACTCTTGTGTATTGGCGGAGAGAGAAGCTCTCCTTGACATTGGTTTTCAGTACTACGAACCTCCATTGGTGTTTTATTGGTGCAATGCTGCTCTCTGGACACAGTGTGACTATCTGGCTTTCAACGTGATGATGTAATCTGGAATTTGTCATCTCGCTGTTGCTTATTTTCCTTGCAATTACATGAATAGTCTTAAGCCTGATGATGGTTGGCTGATCCTTCTTAATAAGTTATTAGCCTAAAAAACTGCCATTTGTCAAAAGGCAGTTTTTTTTTCGGGGGGGCCAACGGCTCCTGGGTCACACCTAGCATTTGGAATAGGAAAGGCAACTTTAGCAGTTCTCCAAACAGGGCAACACACACACACACAAAAAAAAAAAAAAAAAAAAGCCACCGCTAAATCTGCATTCATGTGACGTCAAAAAAAAAGGGGCACAGTTTCAACTTTCAACCCCCCAACCCCTCCCCCCCGCTAAACTTGCACATGATTCTGAAACTCAAACGGTTACATAGGCGCCACTTTGTCTTTTCTTGGCTATTTCAAACTAAAGAGGGGACGCAGGAGTCGGGAGCACTTTCCTCTTTTTGGCTTCGATGAACAAAAAACTGGGCTTCATTGACCACCCCCCCCCAAAGAAAAAAAAACGAAAGCTCAAAATTCTCATCTGACTCGGTCTGACGGTCCGACGGCCTCGGCCTCTGGACCTTATTCATTCCAAGTTGAATATACATATGAAATTCTAGAGGGTCTAGCAGGAGGCCCTCTGAAGAGAATTGTTAGCATATTTTTGGGCTTTTCATCAAAGCCCAGTTTCCTTCAACGGAAAAAAAAAAACACTCTGTTTTGACGAAATGGCTGTTATAAGATCAGTTATTACTCTGTTACTACTGTCTGAAAGGGACCTGTTTTGACGACGAAATGTGCAGTTGAGGATACTCAACGCCATTTCTGCACATATCCTGATTCGTCAATGACGTCCAGATTCAGGCATTGGGGAAACTCAACGCTGCTAGTGGGACTTGGCCCCTGGAGGTTGTTTATCTTATGCCTTTTTTTAAGTTTTTTCTTTTTCTTTTTCTTTTTTTCTTTTTTTTCTCTCTCACCAAATTGAATGTGGTTGCCAATGGGGGCAGCACTGTTCTTTTCCCTTGAGTCTGTAACTGTCGCCGTGAATTGAATCTTGCAGCTACGGAAATAGAATCTCGCATCTGCCAGAGGCATGGCATGCTGCTCGTTCTCTGCGTTACTTATGGATGGAGGTATGTCTAATCAATATCCTTACATGAACTTAATATTCAACATATTATTTCTTCAGAATCTCTTTCCTTGTTGTATCATTCTTGCATCATTGAACAATCTTAACTGCATCCCTTTGCACTCGCACCA